GTTATACCTAAAATTTTAATATTAAGGAAATGACTATAAATGTAATATGTCCCTCTTTTTACATTTTTTGATACTAATAGCAGAATATCAGTTCTGTTCCAACTTCTGTGAAGCGAGTTCATAATATGTAAGAATATTCAAGAAGCAAGATAATGTATAGGATCACTAGTATATTTCCCCTAAAATCATTTTCAAAAACCTAAACAATAAAGGCTGATCTTGTTAAAGGATATAATGAGTCAGTAATATTTTTAGAATTACAGTTGCTAGTGATTTGGAGAAAATATTATATTCGGGGGAAAAAACTGGACTTTAACTTTGAGGAAAAAATCAAGGAAAATGAAAATGGAAATAAAAACCCAAGATAGAATTATCTTTCTTGCAAAGCACACAGGCTCTAATCCACAGCTTATCTCTGCTTCTGGTAATTCTAGGCCTTTGTCTCCATTAATGCCCAGGACAAGGTGAACAGTAGTAACAAATCAAACTAATGCAGTCAGGCTAATACCTGGAGCGTCTCTATTATCTGAGGACTGCCTAAATAAGGTTATTTGGTCTCCCATAATGGCATTTGTCCTTTGTGAAGCCAGCCAGACAAAGCCAATCACTAAAGAGTGCTGCTGGAAACAATGGCTGTGTGTGCTGGTGGTCAACTTTGAGTTAATCAGTGTTAATAGCCGCTTTCACCTCCTGCATTTTATCACACAGCATATGAATGGCATAAATCCCCCATTACCAAACCAAAGGTAGCATCAGCTGGGCCTTGGTCCTACTTCTAGAGGCAGGGAGTTGGGGAGTTGATCCATTACCTAAAGTGGAACCCAAATCACAGTCTAATAAACAGTGACTTGCTGTCTCCACCTTTTATTCTCCCATAAGAATAAAAACCCCCTCCATGTGCCTATGGCTGAATTTCATGCTCATTTGCCTGTCCTGACTCCTGTTGGGGCACCAGCCCACAGCAGCCAAGGCAGCTTTTGGTGGCTGTCAGCACTCTACACTCTTCCCATTTTCCTCTTTCTTATTTTCTTATTAACATCTTTTCACTTTTTCCCTGCTAATGCTTTGGCAAGCTTGTTGGTGTTGACAGGCATGATTGGGTCCTGCAAATGAACCTCCAGCCTAAAAAGTATTGCTTACCTTCTGTCTAGTGTCACCAACATTTAGGAACTTAGTGTTTGCTCTCTTCCTCCATGTCTCCTAGGATGGCCTAGTGGAGCATCTCTTTTAATTAGTATTTTATGACAAGGTAATTTCAGTGAAGTAAATGACACCATATGTCCTATTTACCACATCATAAACTTGCACATACCCACGCACCTGATTAGCTGCTGCCCCTTTAGTCTGGGCTCCAAATGGAAATGCAAAGCAGAGCTAAATCTGACCTGTCATCTGGAGCCAAGCCTGGCCACATTTTTGCCAAACCCTAGCTGACCCCCAGACCTGTGGGTGAGTTTTCAACTGCTGAGTTTAAGAGCTTGTAAAAACAGCATTATTGCAGTAACACAGGGTCCTAGAGTTTTCCTTATTGATGCGTATTGGTTCTTTATATAGTAAGCATTTGATTACCATATTTTGACTCATAATTTCTTAACATTTGCCTTTTAATTTTGTGATTTTTTGCATACAGAAATTTCAGTATTTGTAAGTCAAATTTCAGTCTTTTCCTTTGTGATTTTTTTCCCACTGTTTTATTTGACACCTTCCCATTCTTATGATCACTGTTTAATACTTGATAGCTTATCTCTGTGATTTATACACCTTTATTACATGTTTTGGCCCATCAGTTTCCTTTTGCATAGTGAATATAATAACTAGAACCAGCCTCTTTACCACAGTCATAAAGGTAAAAGATGATTATACTAATAATAAAACAATAATAATACTACCATTTACTAAGTGCTGACTATAGACTGAATGTTTGTGTCCCCTGAAAATTCATATGTTCTACTCAAGAGGCTGAGGTGGGAGGATCACCTGAGCCTAAGAGTTTGAGACCAGCCTGGACAGCATAGCAAGACCCCAATCTCTAAAAAAAACCTAAAAGCTGGGTGTAGTGGCTCATGCCTGTAATCCTAGGACCCTGGGAGGCCAAGGTGGAAGGATCGCTTGAGGCCAGGATTTTGAGACCAGCCTGAGAAAAATAGAAAAATTAGCTGGGCGTGGTGGCACGCACCTGTAGTTCCA